TATATATATATATATATATATATATATATATATATATATATATATATATATATATATATATACTAATTACCAAAATGAATATGTGAGATAAGGTTATCGTTCATTTATTTTTATTATTTCATTTTAAAAATAGTTAAATTCAGATCACATTATAATTTTATCAACATATAATATATGATGCAAAATAACCATCTTTTTTGAAATAATGATCCCGTCTTTGGTCATAGAGAAAACTTAATATTAACACTTTTTCCTATAAAGAAATTTTGATTTAAAAGTTTAATTCCTTATCATTTTAAAGTTGAATTATTGGTATTTTAAAAGTTGCGATTTTGATCCATCATTATATTTTTAAGTTACGTTTTTTGTCTTTTATATAATTTATTTTTATAGTTTTCGTTATTATTAATTGCAAAGAAAATTTTCGCCGCAATGTGTATAAATGCATGATGACTTAAATATTAGTTATTATTACAATTCAAACATTACAATCATAATTTGGTTAAACTTGAAAACAATATTTATAATTTTGTCCTTAGTAAATAGTGATCATGTTTGTGTTCGTCTCTTTTTTTTTTCTCAGTTTATATATTCTGGTCATATAAGTCATAAATATAACCATTCTTGATTTTACACATTAAAGCTTATTGCTAAATTTTTCCCAAACATGTTAATGACATTTTTGATCGTTTTATCTTATCTACGCGGATATTAATTGAACTAACGAATTAGAGTAGTAAAATAATAAACTTTAACATAGATATATATGAAACTAGGCAAATTCTCGCACGTTGCGCAGAAACACCTATATAGTTAAAATCTTTACAAATATGTGTTTTCTGAAATATACAATAATTTTGTTGTTAAATTTGATATAATAAATTGTATACTAAGTTGATATAATATATTGATTATTTTTAATTATATGATAATATATATAATCTATTAAAACTGCATTATCTCAATCGTTTGAATGACCTTTTACCCGCGGGTTACTCATGAAAAGAATTAAATATAATATATGGTTTAATGGTATTTATAGTTGTTATTGTTAATTAATTTTTAAAAATTTATTTTCTTAACGTTTTAATTTCTATCATTGAAATTATTTAAAACATCAAACATTGTTTTTCGTTTTTAAAGATAACAATATAATCTTTTATATAGATTTATTTTTAACTATTGTTATTGTAAGTTATTTTAAGCTACGTATTTGAAAACTTTTAATGATTATAAAAGTATTTTTAGGAAATATTTTAGTTAAATTGAAATTACAATTTAGTTTTTGCATTTAGCACTACAATTTATCACTTTTAATTATTCACAAAATATTTTTGGGTTTTTTACGTGGCACTGGAATTTATATTTAAGTTGATCATGTAATGTTTTAAATTAACAATTTAAGTATTTTATCCAAACTGTTCAAAACTTGTAGCTTTAAACTGTTAATGATTTACATCCAACAACAAATTACATTTAATAAATTAAGTATAATATGTTAAAAGTTAAAAACATAACTTTTTAAATAGAGATAGATACATTATTTTAATATTGAAATTTAGTTTATTTATGATTACATTTTAGGTTTGATATTTATTTAACCTTATTAACTAATTTGTAATCATTATTAGAAAGACACTACAGTTTATCACTTTTAACTATTTACAAACTATTCTTTGGGTTGTTTAGGTCGAATTAAAATTTATATTTAAGTTGACCTTATATTTAAATTAACAATTTAAGTATCTATCCAAACGCATCAAAAGTTGTAGCTTTAAAATGATAATGGTTTATATATAACAACATATTAAAACTAATAAATTATGTATAATATGTTAAAAGTTAAAGACATAACTT